AATGGGACTGAGGTCTTGCTGACATAATTTTGGACTGTTGGGGGTTAATTTTCTTAGGCAATTCGCACAAACAGAGACATCAGGAGTCTTACCAAGAACTTTTAATCATGTACTACTTAATGAGTCTTAATGGTTCTCCATCTGAATGACTGATCATGAGTCTCTGTATCTAATTTAGCCATTAGTAAATGCTCTTAAATTTCCTATCGGTTGGCATGTTTGGGCTCAGAAGACAACTGACCTTGGTAAAGTAAACAAATTTTTTAGAATGCTAACCTAAACAATTCACAAGATATGCGAAATGAAAAACAAAGAGCTGAAAAGCGACTAATACCCGAGAAATAAAACCCAAAAAAAACCTTCCCGTTGAGAACCCCTAAGCAAGGTCAGGACAGGCCCAAACGCGACTAGCGATGACGATTATCGTACGAGAATTAGACCTTATTACAACAGCCAACAGTACGAACGCTAACCCTCTACACTACTTTCCAAACCGTTGGAATATTATAGGAAACAAGTGATATGATCTCACGGCATTTTTCTATTGCGTATTACTCTCAGAAAAACAGGGAATCAATGATGTAATGTAAAGGGACTTTCCCGAGGAAATGAGTCATAGCCGGCATTTCAATCGTTTTGCGGTTTTACTGTTTTACAAAATTAAAGTGCGTTTAAGATGTATCTTGCATAGAATCAACTCCTGAGAAATGAAAGATATCTAGAGCTGTTTACCATTTACAAAAAAATCCGGAAACTTCGGTTTGGAATTTTCGTGCGGTAAAAACGGTACGGGTTGTTTACCATTTGCCTCAAATTTCCGGATTGTTGTAAATGGCGCAGGAGAAACTTATCGGCTAAAATTTGCTATTTCTGATAGCCCAGTTGATACGTCAGCTTTGTATAGAATGAAAGAGAACACGTTACAGAAAATTTATAATAATTTTCGTGGGAGATTAAAATATAACGTAAAACTTGACAGCCATTCGATTTTGGACACAATTTAGCGATTTTAAGTCTGCCCACCATTTAAATACAAGGAACAGCTATGTGTTAGGAATATTTCCAGAATTAGAGATGAATAAGAGCAACATGAACACTGGTACACATCCCCCATTTGCTGTGAACCCGCCATATTTGTTGTTGTTGAAGCGATTACGCTCGGCCAAAGGCCAATAGGCCTGAAGCTAGTTCAAAACTTAAGAAACTTCTAATGGTAAACAAATTTCCATTCGGAACGTCCCAACCGGAAAAACGGGACTACCTTTTCAGAATTTCTGAAATTTGTCCTGAGAATTTTCCAGTGGGACAAACCGAAAAAACGTTTACCATTTACATCATGCAAAACCGGAATTTCCGAGAATTTGTGGTAAATGGTAAACAACCTAGATTTCTTCATGGAAAGTACCGAAATACGATATTTACGTACGAGTTTGTTTTCACAAAACGAACGAGCTAGGCTTTGCGAGCGAAAACAAATGAATGGACTTTGTTGTTTTGGTGTTTCGAGAAGAGAGTATTGAACCATTGAAGTCGAGCCACTCGATATTCTTGACATACTTTTCAATTGTTCTTGTGAAACATGACTGTAGTTGTTAATACTCTGCACATTTCTGTCCTGATAACTGCATCATATGACTAGGAGAAATATCCTTATCATTCAATGTTTGAATCATTCGTTTTCGAACACCAAGGTTCGTAAAGTGAGAGATTTCAAGACCGGCCTTCTCGGCCATTGTTTTCATTAGACTGTTAAGTTTGTTAACTCCCATTGCATTGCCTTTAAACCAACTTTTATCAGCGTCTTTTGTAATATAATTAACACCCAGATAAATGGGTGCATTTGATTTAAAAACGGACTCTGCTCTCTTTTCAGAAGAGAGCTTGAAAACAACAACAGGATCTCTTTCTCGCGGTAAATCTGGAGTCGCGAAAGCTTTAGGTTTGATCAGTCAGACATCACGTGGATCAGCTCGATTTTTGGTTTTAGTTTGTCTTTCAGAAAAATGAAATATTCAGTTCCATCTGCATCTCTCATTAGCTGAACATCTCCCCAGCACATTTGCCGATGCTCTCCACATCCTCGTAGACCAAAATGCAGTGAATTGAAGAGCCAAAGTGTGTTTAACAATCCTTCTCCGTTTGAAATTCCCAGGAGGTTTTTTTTGTAGACAATATCGATCTCATCATCGCTTAGGGCCTCTGCTGTATTAGTTCTATTACCTTTGCCTTTCTTTTCAAATTGTTAGTTTTTAGCTTCGAGACATTTTCTTGCGCGTTCAAAAACAACGTCTTCGATGCAATTACGGGATATTTGTATTCTTTCAAATGTCGATTAAAACTCAGTTGAAAACAGACCTCTAAGACTTGAAGGTTTATACATTCAGGAAGATATATTCGTTAAATGCTTTGGCGTCGATGTCTTCAGAATTTCTTTGTTCGTGTTTTTCTCTCTGAAATTCATTGAGTAGCTTCACATCTCTCGTCGTCTTAACTATTACATTTTTGTTTTGTTGCTCGATAATATATAGCCGTCAAATTAGGCTTTTCTAAAATCTCGTGGATCCTTAAACAATTTTTAAAAGTACAAGTATTTTTGTATTTTTGGGACCGCTATGGAAGTTTGTACGCAAAGAATTTGAAGTTGTTGAATGAAATCAGTGGTATGTTTTGACAAGTCTCTCCTGATTAGACGAAACGCTTCACCCACGTGTGAGAAAGCCATTTCGCTGCTGTGATTGGCTATCAGGATTTTTTTGGCGGGTTTTCTTATGAAAAAACTAATATATAGACTTAGCCAAACCTAAAAGCGGAGCTCGCATTTATTTTTTCCCGCACGTCTCAAGGGCACAACGCCTTGCACTGACTACTGAACAAAGCTGTGGCGTTGGCGTGCCCGCGGTACAGTTGACCACGCATGTTAAAAGTAGCACCTTGTACGGTCGTACGGTCGTACATCCAAATTTTTTCGGCTTGATAGGTTACTACTAATTTGTATAATTATGGGGCTACGCTCTTCGAGCTTCACTATGAGTAAATCTCATTATGTATCTAATAAACCCAGATACTAATCAGTTTATTTCATGCGACAATTAAAATAGTGGTTTCCCACGGTGTGCGACACTGTTTATGAAAAAGGTATCGTAATGGCTCGGTCGCTTTCCTTTTTCCGATTAACAAGTACATTTCTACCTTCCCATGTCTTTTTTATGTTATTGATGTTGCGTTTGAAATAGATATAGTAATAATTCTTTTTACTAATACAAGATAATGGAAGTACTTTATTTCTGTAAAGTTTCTATCTTTCCCGATCACCGGAGAATAAAAGCTCATTTTTTTGTTTTTATTGCTTTCCGAATTCCCCTTGGGATCCACGGTTTTTCCAACTGTTTACTTTCAGGCTTTGATAAGGTTCGAAATGGCGCATGCTAGATCCTCGGCTTATTTAGCTTGTTATAAAAGGTAGAAGATGACTCGGAGGGATCCTTAGCAGATGGTGATGACTCTATGTGAATTCCACCAACTTGTGATAAGATTGGTATGGTTTAAAAAAAAAGGTGGTATTTGTCATACGCAAGACTTACAAATTTTTGTTGTAGTGTGCAGTCTGAAAGGCTTTCACAACAACATTCAAACTAACGTTTGAGGTAAGATATACGTGGTTTACAATGGTGTCATCAATTTCAATGAGAAGGTTAAAATAGATATAGTTGATCCAGTCAACAATCAAAATCCTATATCAGATTTTTTTTCAAAGTCGGCCTTACTTTAAGTCTCTCGGTAAAAAATAAAAATTTTACAAACCGTTGCAGAAATTGTTAAATTTGAAGACACACGGGGTCGTCGGATTGTTATATCTACGTCTCACGTTATCGGCCTACTAGAGGGGGCATCCGTAACACTGGATTTGAGCTCCGGTTTGCTAGACGGAGGAACTTATTCATCATTTTTGATTATGAAATTATAAAACTATAATTTTCAACTGATTGATTAAAATAATCCACACACACACACACATATATATATAATGAAAAAAACTAAAACGGCGATATTTGATTTCAATCATATGGACAAGAATATCGATAAAAGTCAGTTTGATGAAACTTAATCCTTGTACCGCTTTTATCAAAAAGAAATTTGGCTATTCAGGAGAGCATACAAATATTTCAAACAATTGAATTTAATATGAAATTTGTCGTACAAAAAGACCACCAGACCACTAGTGAACTAATTAACAGAAGTCAATCCACTTGGTCTAAAACCAGCGGCTAATTCATTACATTCTCAGAAGCTGAGCATTGTGTACCTATGGTGGTCTGCAATACTTATTTTTTTTTGTTTCCGTCTTTGCTTCCACGCTGTCAAAGTTGTCTGTTCAGTGCTCAAGTAGGGTCAAAGAAGGAAGTCCCGATTACCATTGAGCGAGCCCCACACGTAACAATGTATGACTCAATTAGTTTTTTTGTCCTCATGAAGTCGGAAATGCAAAGCTAGTCTCAAACTTTGCTTTCATTTTCTTATGCCAGTCCTTCTCAATATCATTTAAAATTAACAGCTGAGTTGATTACGTAAATTGGCCACCGTAAAGAGTTTCAAAGCTGACGTCAGTTTTGCGCTTTAGCCCTTCGTCAATTGGAATTGAGGAAAAGCTAACGCTTGGCTTGTCGAGTAGCTGTAAAGCGCTTTTCGATTGAGTGTTGTAAAACTAAAACCAAAGCACACACAATGGCCAACTAGCGGGAAGGAAAATGTTCTAAGAGCCAACGAAAATTCAAAGTTAAAACAAGCAGACTGCTCAAAGCGCGGGAAAACGCGGACGACCAAGTCGTGATTGGTTTTACTTTTACATCTGAGTGGTTGAGTTTTCTGAACCAATCACAATGGAAGGTAAATCAAAACTAATGCAATCTCAGATTATTTTCGACAATCAAATAAAATTGCTGAAAGAGACAATGTTTACTTAAATACCGAATACACACCAAGTAATACGAGGTTAGTATAATGCTTATCAATTATGCTGCTTCTTGCTTCAAATAATGACCATATTCACAGAGGAATGCCAAGATCAATCAACAGACATCAAAAAAGGCCTTATGAGCTTAACTAATGGTCATCTTACGGTTGTTTGTAATAAGCGGAATGTTATCTATATCTGTATCTTAAATCGTTAGTAAAGCTGAGAGCTCTAAAGGAGCAACACGTGACTTGAAATTAAAGTTGAAGCCGGCAGGACTGAAAAATCTCAATGCATTAACTGTTATTTGAATTTGTAACTCACAGAAAATAAAATTATTTACACACTGATATTCCAAAAGCATTTATGCCTGGAAGAAGGAAAGTACCACCCCCTCCTCCAGCGCACAGCCTTTACACTCTCTTCGGGAACCCCTGAGCCTTAAACACAACAGGCGGTCACTGACCTGATTGGTCGAAGTCTCAGATTTGGCCTTTGGGACTATTCTCCACTTTTGATGTTTACTTTTTTTCCGGAAAAGAAAATGATTGATCGATGAAATAAAAATACAGAGAAAGTGAAGTAAAAACTGTTTTGGCAGAAATATTGCGAAAAATAGCTCTTGGTAATATGTATTTCGCTTAAGGTTCTATTCTCTAAGCTCTTCACTATATAATCCTAAGATCACCATCCACGATCGCTCGTCTCAATGGCTGATGGCACCAATCAGAAGGAAGGATTATTCACTCTAAAAGAAAAAATAAAGAATAAAGTTTTTAATTGGTTTTGTGTTTGAAAAGTGTTGAGTTTTCCTTTTCCCCAGTTTTGTTCTCTTTTGCAGATTTCTTTGAACGTTTCAATTTTTTCGCGTATTTTATGACAGCAGTTGTTTTTTCAGTATATTTTGGTTTATAATTGTGTGCAGGAAATTAGCGCTCGGGCTGTCAAAGTTAATCCATTTGCGAATGCGTGACTTTTCACCACTATCATCCCAAGCATTTGCGACGGCATCTTGTCACCTCATTCCATGGCCAGATCCTTATACTAAGATACCTATAAACAATGAATGCTGTTTAAAGCGAACATCCAAGGGACTTTTCTGAGCCCGCTGTCGATTTGAGACATTTAGGATTTGGGCTGGCGTCTGCTTAACGCAGAGTGTATGTATAATTTTGAAATCCTCCTTAAGATAGGCTTCATTGTGTTCATGGTGACCGCTTGCTCAGCGAGTGTAATACGAAGATGATCAGAACGATGGGGCCTATGCAAGGTCAAATAGAAAATACGCATTTCATTTGAAGAACTACTAATTACACTGGCCATTAACAAACGAGACATAGCATCATAACAAGCGAAGTTAGAGCATGCAGGAAACCGAAAATAACAAGATAACTCTTTTCACTGACTTACCACAACTATAGACCAAACTTGCTCCAGTGATTGAAGGAGGAGTGTCAGTGATTTGGTCTTCTCTTATTCTGCCGATGAGACATCTATGCTTTGCTAAATTCTCCTGACTTTTATCTGCTCGGTACACAAAGTCGACATCAAACCCGCTGGTCAAACCACTCGGAACACAGATCCACTTTTCATGGTTACTAGCGCCGGAGGACGGAAGAACACACGGCACATCGAGATTGTTTTCCATAAACTTTTGCGGGATATGAACAGATTGGAAATGGCAATGTCCCGTAATGGGAATAATATGAACGTCCGTTCGTTCCTCAGCTCTGTCAACGATCCCTGGACAACGGATCTGAAGGCAGACGACAAATTCATTGTCTCTAATAGAATCAACTGCCATTGTAGCATAATCGCCGACTTTTGAATCTGTCGTACCCTGCCTGTTTCCTCGGAAACTGGAAGCAAGAAAGGTTGCCTTTGCATTATGTACAAGGACCTTGATAAAGCAAACATCCTGTTTGTTTATGTCGCTGGGGCTAGGCGGATACCAGTTGAGTGGGTTATTGCTGTCATCTATACGTGGCGAGGACAAGATAAATGTTGCGTCAGCGCCTTGGGGGGGTTGAAAACGAAAATATTTATTGTCTCTATCTTGCCTGTAGCACCTTGCGTTAGACTTAGAAAAAGGATAAACAGGACCACTGCTTCTCACACTGGTATAAAGTTTGAACGACTCAACTTTTTGAGCTCTTCCAAGGTTGCTCGAAACAACTCTAACATTTGTCCCATATGGAAAAGAATCAATGCCTCCTTGGTCTGGCGTTAGAAATCTTGAACTATCACTTTCTGCTTGCAGGTAGCACGTCCTTCCTGGCCAAGTTGGAACACAAGCGATGCCATTGGAGTTCGATGTTTCCTCTCGATAGCCCTCTAATAGATTATCATTGGAGGAAGATCCACATATAACCCTTGCAGTTGACCTTGGAGGAGCCGATACGCCCACAAAACAGAAATCACTGGGCGTGTCAAAATTCAGATCACTTTCACTTATAGCCTGGGTGATTTCAGTGACTAAGAACCTCCGGGCAGACCTTCTTTTCCGTCGAATACTACCCTTTTCGTCGCTCCATATATTTCCGGCCGGTATCCATCGTCCAGTCTTTTTGTTTAGCCACCAAAGTTTAACAGTCGTATTTCCATTATTATCTACACTAATGTTTAGCTGTTGGGGATCCAAAAACACTTTCATAGGTTTAGAAGGGGTTAACTTATTTCCACTGGTATCTTCAAAGTTCACCTTCATCATTCCAACACTCGAGAGAATCTGTTCCTCTCCGTCTTCATCAACGGCGGAAAAGTCGCCGGGAGCTGACAAGATGTCGGATGCGTTTCGAGGATCGATTAAGTTCAGTCGCATATTAGCTTGGCCAGAGTAACTAGTTCCGTCTTCTTTCAAAAGGGAACCTCCAGGAACCTCAAGATCTGCAAAAGCAGAGTCATCTGTCTCGCCACCCAAAGGAACACTGAGATCCTGAGATGCATCGAAAATTACTGGCCGTTGTTTTGTGGCTAGGATAATCTTCGTAATCACACTCTGGCCCTCTTGAAGATGAAAAACTTTCGTAAGATCTTCAAATTCCTTTGAAAAGGTGTCTTTGAAAGTGACAGCTAATCGTTTTCTTCCATCTCTAACATCAAAAGAAAAACTGCCACCTCTAAAGTCTGCGTTCGCTTTCACTTCTCCATCGTATTCAATTTGGGCAAATTTAACTGGCCTCTCCTCTTTTCCGCCCACGACCACGCCTCTTATTGTTATAACGGCCTTGTTACAAACTCCACAGCCACAATATTTTGCCTTGGAGAGCTTAAACTCAGCGACATTTCCGCAAGCTATATTCACTTCTTCCACCATTGAGACCCCACAACAAAATGTTTTGTCTTTGCAAGCGTTTGAGTTGTCTGAATCGTTTTGAAGGCAGGGTACAGATGGACATTCACCTACATCAACCGAATTATTTGTTGTGCCTTTCTGTACACAATTTGGTGGAAGTTTCAATTCCTTTGTTCGAGGAGTTGGGTCACAGAATGCCTCTGATGTATCTGCCAGATCAAAATCAGTAAATGAACTAAAATTAAAAATGCTTTGTCTTGTGAAAGTAATAATGGTTTCCTGACCAATCAATTGAATTCATCAAAACATATCCTTGTATTTATAATATTTCATGATGATTCCTAATCAATTAGGGCTCTTACTTGGTGTAGAAGACACAGTATACGTCACAATAGCATTTCATTACTACTGGGAATAAGAAAACATTGAAAAAATAGCGTAACGTATATTGTCTTCTACATCAAGTTAGAGCCCCAATTAGCGATTTGCGCATCGGGCACTGGAAAGTCTCGAGATACGCTGTTTCTCTATTTTTTGTTGGAAATTCATAAGAATTTCAGATTTATTCCAGCGACTTGCTAAGTTTCTTTTAAAAGTACCTCCACAGCGAAATCAACGTCTCTAATTTCAATTTGCTCTTTTAACCGGAGATCTGGGCTCTTAAGGAAAATGATATTAAAAAAGGATAAATAAAACTAATTTAAAGATTTAGCCCAGCCTTGGGCACACGAATAATTCGTTACAATGCAAATTAATTTGGAAGAATATCCCTTTTCCCATGAACACAACCTTCAAAACGTTTCTTTACGAAGCTTGCACATTTTAAACATTAAAAAGGCCAGCCGTTTACCTATATATGCTTTCGACCGATTTTTTGTTTCACCAACGTCAAGACAAGATACTTACCTACTATTTTCAAGACTGCTCCGTCGGAGAATTCGGACCCAAAGTCGTTTACTACTCGACAGCGGTAGCTTCCATTAAGTCCGCGCTCAGCAGTTATTTTAAGAGTGTTGTTAAAACTGTAAAGTTCCTTATCGATTATGTTATTCTCCTTGAACCTGAAAGTAAACGAAGAAGTCATTGATTAAAAACGTAACGACATAAACTGAATTGAGTCGTCGTATACAATAAAGATTTTGTTACCATTCAATTTCCGGTGGAGGGTTTCCCCGACCATTGCAACAAAATGTAGCATTCTGACCAGGCAGCCGAAGTTTGCTTTCCGGATGGACAGTCACAAACGGCGGAACTGCAAGATTTACGAAACGAGACAATATGAGGTTATTGCTATAAGTATATTTTGCTCTTTGGATGTAACGAATGTTACTATGTATCTAAAAATAAGATAGTTTTCGGAGGCCTAACTGTTCATTAAGAACGAGTTTTTGCTTCGAAAGAAGTCACTCTTACTTACTGTCAGTCTCTAGGTCAGATAGTCAGTCTGAAAATCGGCCAGTTAGTCAGCCAGTCAGTTAGTGAGTCGGTAAGTCATTCCGCCAGTCAGTCAGTCAGTCAGTCAGCCAATTAGTCAGTCCGTCAGAGTCAATCAGCAAGTCAGCCGGTCAGTCAATCAGTCGGTCAATCACCTTTTCAGTGAATCAGTAAGTCAGTCACCCGATCAGCAGGCAAGCCAATGAGTCGGTCAGTCATTCAGTCAGCCAGTCCTTCTGTCAGTCAATCGGTCGATCAGTCTTTTAGCCTGTCATTGGGTCGGTCAATCAATCAAACTGACTATGAGGTAAGATACGTTACAGGTAAGTACCTGCAATTTCCATCTTTGCGATAATGGTGGCCTTCTCTCGGGTCAGAATATTAGCTTTTTTCGTCACAGGAACAAAACCATCTTTTGTCACAAGCAACTCTTGCTCATCCGCACAGACACCAAGTGCTGTGAAGTGTCCACTTATGTTCGTCTTTGCAAGAACGTGGTAGGGTGTTTCTATCAATGATATGTTTGCTTCCGACAGTGGTGTGTCATCTACTGTCAAAACTCGTCCAGTGAGTACGTGATGATCACATGTACATGCATCACACGCGGCATTCAGTGTTCCAGTGGTACAGTTTCGCGAACAATCTAAAAAAAAATGACAGAAAAAGTTATCATGGGTGTGAACAGGCAACAGAAAGATTACTCAGCTGTAAAGTAGAGGAAAATGTGTCATTAGCTCTCTCAGTTAAAAAGGAGATGGCCATCGATAGACTTGAGTTATAGAAGGAATTCGTAGTAAAATCGCCTGACTTTCTATAAATACTATCATTTTTTTTGTGCTCAGAGTTCTTCATGCATGTCGATGTATAACTTCTTGCATCTTACAGAGGTGTGTCATTTTAAGCTAGCAATCACGTCCTGTTGGTGTATCATTAGTTTATGAGCTTCTTTTACAATGTTCTACGCGGAGATCTAAATTGGCATCGTCAATAAAGCTGCAAGAAAGTAAATGACAGTTTGAGAAAAAAAACATGAAGATGAGACCACCGAGTTGCTGTGTCCAAATCCTTACAGAATAACTGTGTTTGCGCTATATCATATCAGTTGTTACATTATCAATGTACACTATATGTAGCCCTCTTTTTTAATGTTTCACGAGTAAAAAGGGGTTTATACGGGGTAAGAAATATGAAGAGACTCGATAACGATCTCATTAAACATCTATTTGTTCTCGCGACTCGTTAACACTTTAAATCACCTGGACAGCTCCACTCTGCACATGGTTTGATCTGATCAGGTTTTCCGGCACATGTAATCGGGGCAAAGACCGCTCTATCATTAATGGCCACACACTTTCTCTTTCGATATCGTGAACCACTGCCACATGTTTTAGTGCAGTCACTCCAAGAACTCCAACGAGACCATTTCGATTCTACAAGTCCAGTTAAATATAATGATAAATACTCCTGAATTAAAGTAACTGTTCATATATCATCTTCCTCAATTAACTTAGTGCTCTGTGCTCGCTTTGGGCGATTGACGCAACTTGTCATGGGGCTAAGATAAAAATAGAGGAACTGTTTAGGGTCTGGTGCTGAAACCTCATCTTTCAATTTTTTTAACTAGCGACGCATGGTTAAAACTTAGCTTGAAGGATAAAACTAGATTTCATGTATATAACTAAAATAAATGTGCAGGTTTTATAAAGAGAAACTGAACGTCTAACTGAAATGATCCCTAATTATCAAGGGTTAGGATGTCAAAAGCTGTGTTATTTGAAAGGGTACAAGAAAAATATTCATTTTAGAAGTAAGAGGAGAGCTCAATCTACTATAAATGCTCAAATCAGCGCAATGGATGTCTATCTGAAATCTAAGTTGAGAGTTTATAGCAAAACTACTATTGACAAGGTATCTTTATAATTTGGTATTACTGTTGTCTTAGGAGTTAAATAATTTACATTTTATAGTTTCTATTCTAATCTCTAATTGCTCTTGATAACAGGTTAAAATCCGACTCATCGCGCCCTTTGAAATTCAGTAAGTATTTAATATTCTCGCATCTTTCCCACCTCCCACAATGTCCCGTCATTCTTATCTCTCCCCACGATATTTTCGCCTCTTCTATTTTGCAAAATAAACTATTATCAGCCCAATTAGATCTCTTTTGCAACTCACCTGTGTTGGGGACAAGATCTGCAATAGCTGTCAGGGTTGCTATACTACTGGCTGATGAGATGCTGCTCCTCGTAGACTCCAGGTTGGGTGGTGACGTTGTTTGTTCCCGCTGAAAGTAAGCTGATGTGGCTGTTGGTGTGGGTTTCGTCACAACTGATGATAGGGAGGGTGCAGCCAGTGAGTAGAAGGAAAGAAAACTTTCAAGACAAATGTTTGGCACAATCAGGGCTTTTTCTATGCGTGCGATCGCTATCTTCGAAAGCCACGCCGGTCAAAAAATCAAAATCTCGGAAAAATAAAAATCGACGAGGTTCAAACTCAAAAACTCTACTGAAATATTTAGCTTGAAACTGAACTCGAAATCCAGACTAAGTATGATATACGTATACGAATATACGAATATATGTCCATTCTGTATTTCCTCACTCAGAGCAATTTAAAAAAAAAAAAAACACGAACTCTAATAGCAACAGAATCCACCCATAATATAAGCTGCAGATTGAGTTTCAGGCATTAGCCCTGCATCTTAGCTGAATATGAATTATCTTAAGATATAGTGACGCTTGTTGTAGCTGTATACTTTGATGAGACAGCACCGAACGATAATTTCAATCTCTGTCTTAGTACCCCCGGCCGTAATTCTTCCGCTATATTTCGAGGCACTTGACCTCACCAAGGACAGACTGCCCTCTTGTTTTAAGAAAAATAACATATTATGTACATTTGAGTTGTCGATGCTTTAGTAAGCAAACACCTAACGAAAGTAGAATGCGTTTAGGGAAATTGCTATCCACAAGAATGTTTGACTCAGATCTTGCCAGGAGATTAAAAATTTTACATGGAAGGCTATACCAAACGGTAGAGCTGCCTGCCCCTGGGTAAGAGTGTTAATTTCTAGAGCAGTCAATGAATATGTTGACAATTTCAGCTTTATTCATATGCCATATGGCCACAAGAGGTTACTGGAATAGTTCTAGTTTTTATACCAACAGCAACTTCGGATTAAGTTCTACTGTCTAATTCCTTACCGTTCGGTTGCTCTTGAATGTTTTCTATAAAATGAAGATAGAATGATTTTTATTACTCTTTCCTTTGGGGCTACTGAGACGTGAAATATGGATATCAACAATTTAAATTTAGTGATCTCAGTTAATCGATAAAGGTTTGATCCACCATTGGTATTAGCAGTCCTTTGTTTTTTTATCCTACAGCTGAATGGACGGTAACAATCACACTTTGGGTTTTTACAACAAAATAAAACAAAAGTTATTGTTTACGCTTTCCATTAGTTTGACTATTGGTTTGTGTGACTGTTTGTGATTTGAATATAATTCCTTTAAAGAGAGGTTAAAAGAGCTTTAAAGGTAATACGAAGGACACGCACACATAATCACAAGAGAATCGAACTCTCTTTCAAAGCAGCGGGCATATCCAAGGTGGCCAATCAAGGAGACTATAGAGTATTAGTGCTAAAAGCTCTTAAAGCCGGTTAATCAACCAAGTTTATTGACCTAGACAGAAGTAATTGTTGCCCCAAGATCCTTCGAATTAGGCGAGCCGGCCGTGAGAATATTGGATTTTTTTTTATTTAATGAGTGTACGCCCACAATCAGAGGAACAAAACTTTACACGAACAATTTATCATCCTTAGGAAATGTCGAGGGAATTTTAATGCTTAATTTACGAACTACTCTTTATCCAAGAAAAGAAGCCTATAAACTGAACACTCGATCTGACTCGATTAAAGCAAAACTATTTATTACTTAACTTAACTAACACACTCTACGTTCCACATTGTAGAGCTTTTAGTCACATGCAATGAAACTTTCAAACGCGTTCTTAGTATAAAGAGAACTGACAGGAATCTGACTTTAGAATTTAGAAATGATTAATTAACGAGTCATCGAAACGTCATTCGAAATTATAATTATAGCCGCAAACGCTAATCACACGTATTTCAAACTTTACTAGAACAAACTTGACACATTGTTGAATACGGTAAAAGACGAATGTGACCAACCCAAAGACGAAAACATGAAACCCAGAGCTAGATATGTAACGGTAATTTTCACAAACTAGACAACTAACCAAATAAATTACGCGCAACCAATATATATACGATATGCAAATAAATATAACAAGTACAAAACTGATAATTGACAAAGGACACTAATGGAAGACGAGAAAATAAACACCTAACACGAAACTATGAAACACCAACACTAACAAAAAATGATAGTACAAATTTTTGCGCCCACAATAATCGCTGATTTTGATTCTTAATAATTATTCCAAAGCCTCCGTTGTCAGAATTAATATACTACTTTTTTATTTTCCTTTTAATATACTTATTGATCAAGAATATGCATCACAATGAGCAATGAACAAATAACACATCTTACCACTGGTGCTTTCAGGTTTCCCCTTGCCTCTCATGTAAGTGGGAATCAATACAGCAAGAAGGACTCCCACCACCACTAAAATAATAGCAACCAGAATTGCCATAAGCAATCGCCTTTTTGGACTGGAGGACTGTGGAACCGTCACAATATACTTATTCTTGCGCGGATTTCTGTTCCCCGAAGGCTTCATTTCTTCCATTTTTCCTTCAAGTGGACGGGATGTCAAGAATGATAAGTATTAATGGAGTTATTTAACTGATCCTTGCGGAAGCTCAAGGGCATGAAGCGTTTAAGCAAAATTTCTGTACTTATAATTGCTTAAACGGTTTCGTAATTTTTGACTTAAATTCTCTTATGGTTCGATTTTTCTTTTCCTCAAAAGTAATTGATATTAGAGAGGCAAGCTCTTCAAAGACACGTGAGCATCAACTCCAACAAGCGATGGAAGCAACTGTAACGTGTTATGTTTCGATCACGTGCCTTTCTTGGACGTTGATCACGTTTACCCGGATGCAATTGCAATATTGTATTTTTCACGATATGCAAATCTTTCACTTGCACTGGTAGACTGCTGCGATGTTATCTCAAGAAATTAAAATTTTGTCCTCCGAGAGACAATGCAACTCAGTTGCAGTCTTATGTTCATTCGAATAGCAAAGAAACCGTCTGTGGGAAAACATCCATGACCATCAGTTCTCAATAATCCATAACTTCGAAAACTTGGCAACATCATCGAAATACAGAATTCCACCCTTCCCTTTTTCCTTACGCGAAATCTCTTTGTTTCGCTCGTAAGTTTCATCCAAAGTCACGCTTTTTAGCTGATTAAAGCCGAAAGCCCATCAAGCCCTTCTGATTAATATTTTACAGCGAATTCTGTTGACGACGAAAGCTTTTAGCTATGTATACCTTGAGAAAAATTTGATAAGTTACACTTCTTGTAATTCCTTTTTTTTGCCTCCATACAAACAAGTTTTCATTTTGATACATACTTGTCGAACTTGTGTGAGTCTTTGGGAAAGTAGTCACTTCTAATTCACCAGTTAACGGCCCTGTGTACTTGGAACCTTGTGCAGCTACGCAAAAAAAGCAAAGAGAAAGGACATGAAATATCAGCACGTTCAGGTCAGACACTGAATATGATGGTAAATAGAAACCACTAAGAATGATTCGAAATTCCTCTTAAAATCAAACCACGTTCCATTGGTTTATGGCCATATGGTTCTATGAAACGTTTTCAAGGACTTACTATATCAGACCTTGCAGTTTTATCAGACGAAAACTGGGCTGCAGATCAGTAAGAAATAAATGAGTATAGAAGAAAGCAACCTATTCTCTAAGCACCTTTATGATCTATATCGTAAATAATAGCTCTTTAATCAAACTCAAATCACTGGCCTGTAGAAGTCTTACTTACGTTTGTTTTCGGCATCGCTAAGGTACTTTGGAACGTATATGGCGATCAGGGATACTGCGAGGATGACCACAATCACCACTGCAATTATAACAAGGATGAGTAAAAGTTTTCGTTTAGGTCTTGCGGTCTTTTCTGAAGGCTCAGATAAGAAAACGTTCTTATTGGATGAGAACAGAGTGATGAAAACAGGACGCCACTGTGATCAACCAATCACCTTCATCCTAAATAGAATGCTGAAGGTTACCTGTTGTAAGTAGGTAAAGTGGAGTGTTAAAAATAGCAGTCTGAATCAATTATGATCAGTTTGTCACGCGCGTCAGCCAAACCGTCAACTATCACTGCTTTTGCTCATTAACAATTAATCACGGAAGTTGAAGCCACGGTGAATAGTGGCTATTTATATACTGATATTTACATAGCAGTAAATGTAATATTTATCCGAGCCAGCCAGAATAACAAATGGCCCAAAACATTGTCGAATAATGGGAAATAGGGAAAGCGTAAACTAACTAAAGCAAAGAATTCAAAACGTCACAGAAGCTACTAATCTTCAAAATATTACCCACCTTTAAGGTCTGAAAAACTTCATTCAGCAAATAAAAAAAATTTTGATTTAAGTTCAAATGCTTTGCTCAAAAGTTTTCGTATACGAAGGTCACAAAGTATTGTACTTTTAATTTTTTCGTCCTAGAAAATGAGGATCTAAATTACAAGTGACTTACTGTTCAATATCTCCGACCAAAGTTCAGTTTTATTTTTGTTTTCCTTTGTTTTGGTTTTTTTAGAACAGTCGCCTCGTTCATCGAACTATGTTCCCTTGGGTGGACCATAATCTCATTGGAAGGCATTTTAATCCTCTCCGGCTGATCGGAGGTGAATTAAACTAATCCCCCTCGAGCTAACCAATCTGAACGCGTTAAAGTAACATTTAGTTGTGAGGTATAAAATCATATACTGTTTGTAACATTTCTTTGACAATCGTCATTCGGACTCCCTGCACAAATCGTTCTCCAGCTCTGTCTTTGACGATTCCTATGGCATGACTTATTTCCTCTTTCGTGCGATCCAAAGAGGAACTTCAGTAAGGCGTGCTGAAAATTTGTCAAACCCACAAGAAACTACGTGCATACATACATAAAGTCTCTTCCGGATAGTCAGTCTGCCCCAGTCTTTCTCAATTTCTCTGCTTGTTCATAATAGTTACGATTATGTATTAACGGTGAGATAGTGCAGGACAATGATCCGAGGGCGCAAGTGTTTCGAAATCGCGAACGAAGACAACAACAACACCAACAAACACAGGAATCACAGAACCAAAACTACCCTCCAGTCCAACAAGGGGGTTCTATTTTTGATCAACTTAACAATCGACTGATTTCCGCCGTTTTTCCTCGATGGAATTTGGAATTTGCCCTGGTTCTTTTTGGCTTCCAAGGTTTGTTATTGGTGGGCGTCCTCTGGTTCATCATGCAACAAAGTCGACGATGAGCAAGGTGTGAACTTCGTTAAAAATTAAATCGTATGGCATTCACGGATTTTATTCAAATTTGAAACAGCTTCTACGTGTTGTTGAAGTCACGGACTCACTGCTGAACAGAAAATCGCGGTAAATTAGCATACATAGTGTTTATTATTATAGAAGGCACTTTTACAAAGGTAGTTAGGTTAATTCTGGTGAATTATAGGAAGAATTTGACTAGTCAGCTGATCAAGAACTGGCGCAGATTTTTAACGAGTGGGTTGAATGTTATGTTGTGGAGGCGCGGTGGCCTCATGGTTAGTGCGCTTGACTCCGGATCGGGTGGTCCGAGTTCGAGCCCTGGCCAGGGTCATTGTGTTGTGTTCTTAGGCAAGACACTTTACATTCACAGTCCTTCTCTTCACCCAGGTGTACAAATGGGTACCAGCAAATGTGCTGGGGGTAACATCCCATCCAGGGGGGAGTATCAATACTCCTAGCTGCTTCATGCTAAGAAAACCACAGTGAAGCACCAGTCCCATGGGCCACTTGGGCCCGTATAAAGGCCTACTTGAATGTTATGTTGGTGGGCCACTCTCTTACATCTCTTTTAATCAGAGTGAACAATTATTCACCAAAGTGGAGGTGAATAATGGTGAATATTTACAAGTTGAGGTAAATATACACCACTTTCACCAACACTGAAGTCAACAGTAGTTTTGACCTTTCACTCCCAATATCTCATTTGTAATTCTTGTTACTTTGTGCCTCAGAACTCTTATTATGTTAGTTTGGAGAATTTGGTATTGGATCAAGTAATAATCTCCTGACTGATATTTATTCTTATCACTCCTTTGCTTGATATTGTATTGGTGTTGTGAGGAGAAATACTCTCTTGGTCACACATGGGAGTTAGAGGGTTCAATTGTCAGTTTACTGTAAAGTGGTTGGAAGTTTTGCTTTTAACATGCGATTGAGTCTCATCTAGGACAGGGTGGGGAATAATATGTGCAAATCAGACCAAAGCTGACCAATCAGGGCGCATGAAAGGCACTCCACCAGAGTGGTATTTTTTATCGCTTTGCTTATTCTCCTTACTGTTTCCCTTACATTTCCTGTGGTGCTGACAAGAAGAATTTGTTTAACGATCAAGAGCTGCCTTAGTTAGTAATCATTCCTATATTCCAATAGCCAAAATATTTCATTCAGGATAGTGTTACACTCACTGAGTGATATACATCTCATTTTTGTATTTTCTTATTTACTTTTATTTTTAATCTTTTTATTTAGCTATTCACTATTTCAATATGTGCTACTGTTGCTTAACTTTTAATTTTCTCAAGCTAGTTTAGCGACAAATTGCTTGAAATGTTTTGAAATTTGCTCTGTACTTTTATTTGGTAATTTTTTATATATTTTTCCATAGCTCTATATAGAAATGTTTTATCGTTGTTATATTGTAAACAAACTATCTAAGTGGACTGTATAGGTTACTTCCGAGATGGACGAGAGTCTGGGACCTCTCTCTTTAAGTGAAAAGTTTTTGATGTTTAAATAATTTTTGCCCTTAAAAATAAGAAATCCCTTGCAAAATGATTTTTCAGTTTATCAAGTAAGGTTTTCAGACTTAAGCTTTTGTCAATTTGAAGGAGGTGACCTGTTATGTTTCAGTGTCATCGTCATTGTTAACGGTGATAATGATGATGCTGATGATTGTGATTTTGATGACGCAAATGATAACGGTAATGATGATAACAATGTTGCTCTTAATAATGATTGTTATGGAAAACGTTAATAACGATGACATGACCACAATGCTAATGATATATGATGACGTTAGCTCGATTATATGACTTTTACAACAAGAATTTTCTATATCTTTGGTTCATCCTTCAGATGTTATGTACTTCACCGACTGCCACTTCACATTTCTCGATTCAAGGCCTGTTAAAAAGGCAGAGAAGAGAGAGGCACAGAGGGTTGGTGCTTACATGAAAATCGTTGCTCCTTCACTAACCGACCTGGTAAGTTACAGAAAATTGTGACATTGAAACGCATTTTCTCCACTTAAGAAAATCTAAAACTCAAATAAAGTACGCCCTCTGTGACTGCAGTATACTTATTTCATTGTGTTATAATTTTCTTGATTGACAGAAAGCGCTCAAATGCAAGAAAGCGTAGAAATATCAAGATTCACTCCACTACCCAGTACCACAAAGGCTCCTTTGGAAACCCAAGGGGACGTTTGGACGTATTCGATACAACTACTCCGGAAAGAATTCTGAAGGCAACAGATTTATAAAAAATGCTCAGCTTTGAAGCTGAAAACTATTTTACAAGTTTTGTTGTAATTAAGAACCTTGTGCTTGGTGGGGTTAGATTCCATTCCTCTCATCACTAACTGAGTTCGAGCTCCGTACTGTAAGATACTGACCAAGATTTTCCGCTCGGATTTAAGGCCCGCGCGCTCGCGCTTCGCATGAAATTCCTGTCATAACTCTATTTCAGACTATTCTTGGCAAATCAATTTTTCCTTGAGCATATAAAATGCACAGGATTTGCAATGATAGTATCGTTGTGTTATAAATAAGAGCTGGTTTTTCCTATCTTCCCATTGAGCTTAATTGTCAAGGAGAAATAAAATAAAAGAGAAAACATTTTAAAACCTTTTGGATAAAATAGAGTGGAAAATCTAATAAAAACAGAAGGACCGAGTGAAAACCAATAAAAGCTGAAATAAAATCTGATTACTGAAAATGAAATGGTGGTATTGATTTATCTCCCCGCCCCCCAAGAGCACTTTCTTCTTGACTTGTTCTGTCATAGTATAAGAATCAAATGATGTCATGCAAAAAACATTTTTTATTTTTTATTAATACACTCGAACTACTTTGACAGTTTATGTTTGCCATATGCTATTTCTAGGTTTACTTGTAAAAACTGTTTTTCAATGCGTTTTACAACAAAGCGCAAACTATATAGCTGTACTGCTTAACCGCTGTAAACACCGGGCAACAAGGACCAGTCTGCATAATAAAAACATCTAAAAGGCCCTTCTCACTTTTTTCTTACATGCATCTATTAAAAAAAACTAAAGCTATCAACAGCATTATATAGCGCTTGTTGTCAAAGAAAATAACAATTGTTAGCATCATAAAATAAACTTGCTATCAAATGTGTTCTTTCCACGAATTAAGAATACGGTTTAATATTCTGTATAAAACTAAGAACAATACTAAACATTTGCAGTATAATTTCTTTAACCCTTTCACTCCCGAATCTTTTTAGTAATTCTCCTTACAATCCGTCATACAATTTTTATGATGTTAGCTTGGAGAATTTGGTAGTGGATCTACTGATAATCCCCAAATTGATATTTTCTTTATTCTTATCTTTTGTCCGCTTGACATTGTTTTGATACTGCAAGGAGAAATTCTGTCCTGGTCTCTCATGGGAGATAAAGGGTTAAGCTGGTCGAGTAAATGTAACATGCAGTTCTTAGTTGAATATCACTTATACTCTCGGAAATCTCAATTTGATGCAGAACAACTTTCAATTTATTTTATCGGTTTGCCGTTACTGCACTTACGAAACTCACGTAATCATCTCAACCAATCAGATGCAAAACCAAATTCAATCACCAGCTGGTCAAGCGCGTTTTCCCGCGCTTCAGACAATCGGTATCTTTTTTATTTTCAGTTTTTCTTGGTTCCTTGCAGCAGACATTTTTCATTCATCTGGTTAGCTGTTGATGTTTCTTTAGTTTTCGTCTTACAACACTCAATTGAAAGGCGCTCCAATTGCATTATATAGCTATTATCTTCAAGAAATTACCGTAAAAGTCTATTCGGATTAAACCAGAAATTAGAACCGTACTTGAGCTGAACTTAAAAACCATCATATGGCTATAAGTAAAGTTTAATTAACTTCAAATCAAATCTCTCGAAGTAATGAGGCCCCTGAAAGGTAATGAGGGAACTGGAATTCGAAATTTAAGCCGATGTGACGAAAATTAGTCTACACCTGAGAGAATTCCAGGAAAAGGGATAAGAATTTGTTGTCTGGCTTACATAGGCTAGGACGAAGGGCTTTCTACACACCACATACCCCTCAGGAACCTCTGGCTTTCATACAAAATGTGCAACTCAGAGGCTTCATAATTTGCTCAGATTAAAGAATTACCTCTTTCAGCAAAGAGAAAGTAAACAAATTCTGACTTAACACGACAATGCCAGAATGTTTAGCTCGTATCCTTTAGTTGGCCTGGACTACATCAAATAGTTCATATACAATCGTAATGAAGAGCATACCCTTTAGAATATATACCAGAGGAAGTGACTCCCAAACCCAAGTAACCATCTCTACAACTGCTCTCTGTCGTTTGCCAAGGAAAGAACTGAGTGTTATACAAACCCGGAGATGGATAGTTAAAAGATGACATTGGGACGTCACACAAGGAGTAAACCACTCCTTGTTGAGGGGGTATAGAATATGGGCATTGGTTCTGATAAAAATTTAAGTCGTGTCCTAATTTCACCAATTGGCAACCATCAGAAAGTGGCCTTATAACAATAAACGTGTTGTTATTTAAAGATCCACTATTCATTACATCGCTACATCTATATTCAAGGCAAGTGGCCGATGCCTTCCAATTATCCAGAGTTGGTCGTGTTATATCGGTACTATAGCCATATAGATCTTTCTTTTCTGGTGTGTAACTTTCCGCTTTGAACACTGATCTCCTTCCGGTGACTATTATCTTTACATAACAGTTATTTCCATTGCTGAGCCAGTCGTAAGTTCTTACTGTACTCTTATAACTATCATCAGGCAACCTATAGAATTAACCCAGCTGTAAAACGTCGTGTATGCTCAAATGGGTCACTTTTGGCCAGCTAGGTGTTAATTTTTGGTGAAAACTCAAAAGGAAACACAAGAATGGACCGATATTCAGCAGAATTGGCGAATTAAAAACTATCAAGACGTTCATCTGTGAAAGAAAACAAAAGTTGGAAAAAGATAAACTTAAGACTTCTTTAACACAACTATTCCCTTTACCACGGGTATCCTGTTGATTCAAAATTTTGTTTTGAAAATGACATTTTCAAACAATTTTCGTAAACCGACTTCATCATGGCGGCAACATGGCTTTTACGAGCTCTACATAGAGTGAGACTTTTCTTCTTCTTCTACATTATTCTGAGAGGGCTAATACCCCAAGAATCATCACTAAGGACTGAAGGTATCTCCTGTTCTTTTTCTATGAACTATTCGCTCTGTGAGCCATTTTACTCACACCGAGTTCTCAACGACAAAACGCCGAACGAAGCCTGAACTTGCTAAGACTCCGTTGCCATTAATAAGTTTACGCAGATACGTCAACTTCTATACTGCGTATTAGCTGCTCGAGTAATTCTACCAGGCGATTCGTCGCCAAATCCTGGATGGACTCAAGCGACCACCCTCAATCAGCCTAGTTTGAAGATCGGTCACTTCAATATTCGCAACCTTCCCAAGCATTTAGACGAGTTTCGTATATTAATACAGGACAACCCATTTGATGTAATGTGTTTGTTAGAGACCTGGCTCAATTCAAAATGGTCTGATTCAGAACTATTGATTGATGGCTACAATATTATCAGATCTGATCAGCGGGGCTCGCAAAAGGTGGTGAAACTGCAATTTATCATAGCTCTAAAAGTATGGCCCGCCAAAGAACCAATATAAATTTTGATTTGAATATCGAAGCTTCATGGCTTGAAATAACACTCAAGAATCGTAGTAAATCGTGAAACAATTTATCGATCAGCCAATATAAGAAGTTGAGTCATTCAGTTTGTCGGTCGTTTGTTAATACCATTATAAATCAATCGATCAATCAGTCCATCAATCAACCAATCAATAGCTCAAGTACCTAGTCAGCCAGTCAGTCAATCAGTCAGTAGATCACTCATTTGGTCAATTTTAAAACGCAAAATGACGTTAAGAAAGAAGAAATAAGCAATAATTATTACCTGCAACTATACACCAGAGCAGAGCCACCATCGTCTATTGTAGCAGGATTACGCACGTTAAAGTTCTGATTGCCCTCAAGGCATCTCGCTTCACCAAAATCTCCACGAGGTCCTTCACCATGGAACGTCTTGTAGATTGTCTGGCCGTTTCTACTTATTGGTATCCATAACCACTTTGCTTGTCCCTTGTTACCAGGTGGTCGTGTTGGACATACAGGTCTACTGAACTCATCGGGACAATTCGGGTACTGCACACTACCCAAATCGTTGTGAATACTTTTAAAGATGCAATTTGTAGTAAGAGGTGCAATCTTGACATACGTGAACTGATTATCCTCAGGGCAGCTGAATTGAAGGCAAACAATCTTGTTGGGTCCCCTAGAAACATCTCTTGACATTTGGATATGTAGACCCAGTTTTCCCGCTTCGCTTAAGATGTTCTCTTTGTAACTTTCAGCAGCAAACATTACATTTTCGGGCATTCTGTTTTCGTCTGTAATTTTCACTTTAATGTAACAGCCTCCTGGGATCCAAGATCTCCTATTGTAAATATTGAAAATGGAGAAATCCCCTGGTGCTCGTGCTGGTTCTCCAAAGGTAAACTGGGAACCTTCTGGACGATTTTGAGAAGATTTACACTTGTTTACCTCAGCTGCGACATGTTTGTACATGGGTGAATGAAGAGGACTACTTTCATCCAGCTTGCTCGTGAACTCAATCCAACGGATTGTTTGACCCCGTCTATCTCCACTTCTTTCCTCTATCCGAGCTCCTAAGTATTGTGGAAGACTATTAAAGTTTCTTTGTATTGGCATCATGTATTTGCCATTGAATTCAGCTTGAAGACTGCATTCTTTATTGCGCCATATGGGAATACAGGTTAAACCTGCGCTTGTGGTAGATTGTTCGATGTAACCTCTATACACAGTTCCTTCACGTCGAAGTACCCGTACTACAACACCTGCCTTTGGTGGATCTGTCGTCACTCTTATTGCAACTCTACTTTGAGCCTTATCGAAGTTTAACTTTTGGCGAGCCACTGCTGGAGTAATTGTTCCAACGAAAAATACCCTGTTGGAGCGCTTCCTTCTCCTTTGATTTCCGTCTTCACGCCGAAAGTCACCAGCTTCCCTCCAACGTTGGGTTTTCTCATCCAGCCAGTAAAGCTTCATGGGAACACTAGGGCTATTTTGAACGCGTATGTTGAGTTTTTCAGGATCAAGGTAGACCTTCATTGGTTTTGATATGGCCAACTGCTTTCCGTTTTCATCTTCAAATTTCATCTTCATCATGCCAAACGTTTCTAAAATTTCTTCTTCGCCTTCTTCATCTGTTGTGGTAAAATCTCCAGCAGCACTTAGAACGTCTGAAAGGTTACGAGAATCAGTGACGCTTACGATCGCCTTTGCATTTCCTTGAAAGACAGATCCGTCCTCTGTGAGGAATGATTCTTCAGGGAGTTCAAGATCAGCAAAACTTTCGATTTTTGGATCACTTCGCAAGGGAATATCTTGCTGCTGTCGTGCATCGAACGAAATCGGGGGTGGTATTTGCTTGAGTGTTATTTTATGAAATTCGCTGTTTCCTGTACTGACTTGAAAAATCTTAGTCCTTTCTTCAAATTCTTTGTAATACGAATCCGTGAAGGTGACTGCTATTCTGCTAACATTTCCTGGAATTTCGAAGGAAAATCTTCCTTTCACATCGGTGTAAGAAACGATATTGCCATCATAAATTATATCTCCATATTGCACAGGCGTTTCCTCCAAACCTCCTACCACAATGCCTTGTATGATGGTCACCTTTTCAACACAACTACCGCATGAACAGTGGGTCACTTTTAGGACATTAAATGACATAACACTACCACAGTCAACCAAAACGTCTATCGTTTCTCCAGGGCCACAGCAGAAAGACGGATCCCGGCAGGAAGAATTAAACGAAGAGTCATTTTTCATGCAGGAAACAGGCTCACACTCGCCAACGTCTACAATCTTGCTGCCGGTTGTTGTCACAACACATCCTTGGGGAAGAGTTATATTTTTGGAATTTGGTTTGGAAGAACAGGAGTCAACATCTTCCTCTAGCCAAAAAAAACAAAAGTAAATAACAGGAAAACCCGCCTCAAGACAGTACCTAGAATCTAGAATCCATAGTGATTTCGCGGTCATGAAATTTGTCTAAGTATCGTATCGGTATTGCGAGGATACTTGATACTAACCTATTATCTCTAAGATTGCTCTTTCGGAGAATTCCGTTCCAAAGTAGTTCACTACTCTACAGCGGTAACTTCCATTAAGCCCATGCTCAGCAGTGATTTCAAGGGTGTTATTATAATTGTATAGTTCCTTATCAATGATGTTGTTCTCCTTGAACCTAGAAGACAAAAAAAATATACTAACTTGCTGAATAATAAACGGTAAACACCTCAGGTACAAAGCCATGAAAATCAGTGCCAAAATCTCTTTTGTCTTTCGCTGCACAGCTAGTGTTTCAAACTTGGCCGGATCCGAAGTTCCTAAGTTTGATTCCTCCTGGTGAACTCAGAATTTTTTTTTTGTGCCTACTCTAGCTCGTTACAAGACGAACAAAATGTTATTTTATTCTAAGTAGGGTTTTTATATATTCGAATTTTTGAACAAAACGAAAAGAAGTCTCAATTTTACTATTTACCATCACATTTTCCTTACTTCGACAGAATACAATAAGTATGCATGTGATTATTTGAATTTGATTATTTCTTACCATTCAATTTCTGGTGGAGGATTTCCTTGGCCATCACAACAAAATGTAACACTCTGACCAGGCATACGAATTTTGCTCTGTGGATGAACTGTTACAAATGGCGGTACTGCAAGATTTAGGATGTAAACAGATTCAGACAAAAAAGGGAAACTGTCAATATGTTGATACTTTTAGTTCCTGTATTTAGGATATGAAGAGCCTTATATAAACCCTGTCTAACTTGATCTAAACACGTACCTCCAATTTCCATCTTTACGTTAATGATGGCCGTTGTGGGAGTCAGAACGTTTGCTCTTCTAGTCATAGGAACAAATCCTTCTTTTGTCACTAACATCTCTTCTTCATCGAAGCAAACACCAAGTGCTTTAAAGTGTCCACTTATGTTCGTCTGTGCAAGAACGTTGTAAGGTGTTTCTGCCAATGATATATTTGCTTCTGACAGAGGTGCACCATTTATTGTCAAAACTCGTCCAGTTACCACGTGATGATCACATGTACATGCATCACATGCGGCATTTAGTGTTCCAGTGGTACAATTTCGCGAGCAATCTGAGGAAAATCATAGCAAAGGGAGATACTATAAGTGGACATCTTTACGAAACAGAACAAGAGTCCTAGAGCGAGTACTGCAGCAGTGACTAAATTTGAGTAATGCGTAACTGGGCCCTTCAGTAACATGGCGTAATCCTGTAAGAATAGAGGGCCCTATGGAAAGGTAAGCGCTTGCTTCTGACTTTAATGTGTCATATTCAGTCAAATCCTTCTGTGTGTACATACTTTAATTTTTTTAATAAAACTTCCTTGATTCCCACAGAAGGATGATCCATCGCGCTTAAATCTTCTGCAGTAACATTTCAATGCACCTATAAAGCGACGTTGTTAACCTGAATCATCACACATCCAGTCTCTGCCGGGTCGACCCAAGTTGACAATTATCACACACTCAATAAATGCGTTATCTTTGCAATAGAAGTTGTCTCTCTTCACCTTGTGTTCCGCTATGAAGATGTTTCTTCATTTTTGTTCGAGAGCCTTTACATTAATGTTAGAAGAACACAAAGGAATAAGCCCATTTCAAGAATCGTGGAAATAGTTAATAAATGGACTTTATAAGTTTGAATAAGAATAAAAAAGTGTCAATAAATGTCAATAATAATTGATCAGAATAAATAAGAGTTAAAAAGGTTTTAAATAATAGTTATTCTGCCTTGATAATATTCATAATTGTATGCTTCAAAAATATATACCTGGACAGCTCCACTCTGCACATGGTTTGATCTGATCAGGTTTTCCAGCACATGTAATTGGAGCAAACACTGATCTTGGATTAATGGCCAGACACTTTCTGTTTCTATACCGTGACCCAATACCACATGTTTTTGTGCAGTCACTCCAAGAACTCCAACGAGACCACTTGGATTCTGCAAGACAAGTTAAATACAAATACAGAATATTCCTGAATTGGAGTAGTTATTTCTTATCATCCTCTTGAGTTTATCAGCTTTCGTTCCCTTTCGTCAAATGATACAAGTCGATCGAAATCGACTTGCCAAACCTAAGGATCCTGTTACGAAAGAACAACGAACCGACGCTATTTATTCTGTTCCTTGCAATGACTGTGATAACGAATACATCGAACAGACCAAACGTCAGTTTGGTACACATTTGAAAGAGCATCAAAAAGCGGTTTTCTTTTGCGGAAAAGAAGATTCAGCTTTATCGGAGCACACATGCCTAACTAACCATACAATTGGGTGGGACACGTCTAAAATTATCTCCACTAATTGGCGCTACCACCAGCGCCTTTATTTGGAAGCCAGGCACATTAACTCTGCCCACGCTCCTTTAAAGCGTGATGATGGCGGCTTACTTCCTAACGCCTATTTACACCTCGTCAGAAAAAAGGCAGCTAATTAGTGAGCGTATAAAAGGACCTCTTGTTGCAGCGTTTAGATCACCCCTGATGAAGGCACTAGACAGGAGTGTCGAAACGTTGGGTCGATGAATTGTAACTTCTCGGTTACATTCATTAAATCTCTAAACCAGAGCAGCATCAAACCATGTCGATCGAAATCAGTTGACAGTGCAATTGCGGCGAAATAAATTATTTGGTTTTATTTGCACAGTGTCATGATCCGCTTTTTATTTGAATTCTAGATATCATTGTCACCTCCCATATTACTTTTCTATCCTCGTCCTTCCCTCATCTTAGTTTTGCCTCTCCTCTTTCCAAATGTAACTTATTTTCAGCGCAATATCATCTGTTTTATATTTCTCACCTGTGTTGGTGACAAGATTTGCAATAGCTGTGAGGGCTGCTACGCTACTGGCTGGTATGATGCTGCTGCTTGTAGGCACCAACTTGGGTGGTGAAGTTGTACGCCCTTCTTGTAAATCAGATAATTGGGCTGTTGGGGAAGGTTCTGCTGCAACTGGTAACGAGGCTGCAACTAGTATGACAAATACAAAAAAGATTGTTTTCAGAGTTATTTTTGACATCACTGTGGCTTTTTCCATTGCTCTCTTTACTGACCCGATCGGTCCACGAGTCAGTGAGGCCTCTGAAGCCTCAACAGATGGTGTGATCAGTATTTAGTAATTCTGTCTTGTGTGTTTTAAATAAAGTTGCATAGCTATTTCAAGAACTCTCAGCTGGTTTTGTGATAAAAGCTACAAAAACATCACGCAGCCGACCTCAGTCACGTTTCGATCACGTGCGTTTCTTGGACGTTGATCACGTTTACCTAATGCAATATTGTATTTTTCTCGATATGCAAATCTTTCACTAACGCTGGTAGACTGCTGCGATTTTTCCTCCAGAAATTGAAATTTTGTCCTCCGAGCGACAATGCGTCTCAGTTGCAGTGTTATGTTCATTCGAATAACAAGGATAAAAGCAAAGAAACTGTCCGCGGGAAAACATTCATGACTATCAGTTCTTAATTATCCGTAACTTCTAGAACTTGGCAACATCATCGAAATACAGAATTCCACCCTTCCCTTTTTTATTATGCGAAATCTCTTTGTTTCGCTCGTAAGTTTCATCCAAAGTCACGTTTTTTAACTGATTAAAGCCGAAAGCCCATCAAGCCCGTCCGATTAATATTTAACAGCGAATTCTGTTGGCGGCGAAAGCTTTTAGATGTGTATCTTGAGAAAAATTTGATAAGTTACACTTCTTGTAATTCCTTTTTTTTGCCTCCATACAAACATGTTTTCATTTTGATACATACCTGTCGAACTTGTGCGAGTTCTTGCGGAGGCAGTCACTTCTAATTCCCCAGTTAACGGCCCTGTGTACTTGGAAGCTTGTGCGGCTACGCAAAAGAACAAAGAGAAAGGACATGAAATATCAGCACGTTCAGGTCAGACACTGAATATGATGGTCAATAGAAACCACTGAGATAAGATTCGAAATTCTTCTTAAAATAATCAAACCAAGTTCCATTGGTTTATGGCCACATGGTTCTATGAAACGTTTTCAAGGACGTACTATATCAGACCTTGCAGTTTTATCAGACGAAAACTGGACTGCAGATCAGTGAGAAATAAATGAGTACAGAAGAAAGCAACCGATTCTTTAAGCACCTTTATGGTCTATATCGTAAACAATAGCTCTTTAATCAAACTCAAATCACTGGCCTGTGGAAGTCTTACTTACGTTTGTTTTCGGCATCGCTAAGGTACTTTGGAACGTATATGGCGATCAGGGATACTGCGAGGATGACCACAATCACCACTGCAATTATAACAAGGATGAGTAAAAATTTTCGTTTGGGTCTGGCAGTCTTTTCTGAAGGCTCCTCTGCGAAAAATTCATCATTCTTTGGAAGAATATCAACCAAAGGCACCATTTGTTTTTCTTCCGACTCCATCTCAAGAACTTTATTGAGGGACAGTTTGTTCAGCACTGCTACGCCAGTGAGTCACGTTCTTATTGTACTTTATTCAGAGTGATGAAAACAGGACGCCACTGTGATCAACCAATCACCTTCATCCTAAATAGAATGCTGAAGGTTACCTGTTGTAAGTAGGTGAAGTGGAGTGTTAAAAATAGCAGTCTGAATCAATTATAATCAGTTTCAAGGTGTATTTGTTTACACTGATAGATAACATATATACAAATGATGTACACGTACAAACCCAGACGCTAACGTATTTGTCAAGCGCCTCAGCCAAACCGCCAGCTACCTCTGCTTGTGCGTAATAACAATCAATCACGGAAGTTGAAGCCACGGTGAACAGTGGCTATTTATATACTGATATTTACAAAGCAGTAAATGTAATATTTATCCGAGTCAGCCAGAATAACAAATGGCCCAAAACATTTACGAATAATGGGAAATAGGAAAAGCGTAAACTGACTGAAGCAAAGAATTCAAAACGTCACAGAAGCTACTAATCTTCAAAACATTACCCACCTTTAAGGTCTGAAAAACTTCATTCAGCAAATAAAAAAAAAGTTTGATTTAAGTTCAAATGCTTTGCTTAAAAGTTGTTGTATACGAAGGTCACAAAGCATTGTACTTTTAATTTTTTTCGCCCTAGAAAATGAGGACGTAAATTTCAAGTGACTTACTGTTTAATATCTCCTATCAAAGTTCAGTTTTATTTTTGTTTTGTTTTGTTTTGGTTTTTTTAGAACAGTCGCCTCGTTCATCGAACTATGTTCCCTTGGGTGGACCATAATCTCATTGGAAGGCATTTTAATCCTCTCCGGCTGATCGGAGGTGAATTAAACTAATCCCCCTCGAGCTAACCAATCCGAATGCGCTAAAGTAATATTTACTTGTGAGGTATAAAATCATATATTGTTTGTAACATTTCTATGACATCGCTAGGATTCCCTACAAAAATCGTTCTCCAGCTCTATCCTTGACGATTCCTATGGCACAACTCACTTTATCTTTCAAGCGATCCAAAGAATAACTTTTGTAGGGCGTGCTGAAAATTTGTCAAACCAACTGGAAACTACGTGCATTCTTACATAAAAGCTCTTCCGGATAGTCAATCTGCCCCAGTCTTTCTCAATTTCGACGCCATATTGAATATCTTCGCATGTTCTTTGCTTGTTCAAAATGGTTACGATTATTAACGGTGAGATAGTACAGGACAATGATCCGAGGGCGCAAGAGTTTCGAAATCGTGGACGAAGACAACAAGAACAGCAACACCAACGAACACAGGGATCACAGAACCAAAACTACCCTCCAGTCCAACAAGGGGGTTCTATTTTTGATCAACTTAACGATCGACTGATTTCCGCCGGTTTTCCTCGATGGAATTTGGGACAAAATGTCGTCGAACCGATTGTATCGGTGGCGTTGATTCTTGCTGTGGTTCTTTTTGGCTTCCAAGGTTTGTTATTGGTGGGCGTTCTCTGGCTCATCACGCAACAAAGTCGACGATGAGCAGGGTGTGAACTTCGTAAAAAATTAAATCGTATGGCATTCACGGATTTTATTCAAATTTGAAACAGCTTCTACGTGTCGTTGAAGTCACGGACTCACTGCTGGACAGAAAATCGCGATAAATTAGCATACATAGTGTTTATTATTATAGAAGGCACTTTTACAAAGGTAATTAGGTTAATTCTGGTGAATTATAGGAAGAATTTGATTAGTCAGCTGATCAAGAGCTGGCGCAGATTTTTAATGAATGGGTTGGATGTTATGTTGGTGGGCCACTTTCTTACATCTCCTTCACTCCCAAGATCTCATTTGTAATTCTCTTTACTTTATGCCTCAGAACTCTCATGATATTAGTTTGGAGAACTTGGTACTGGATCAACTAATAATCTCCTAACTGATATTTATTCACTTATCTGCTCGATATTGTAGGAGAAATGCTGTCTTGATCACTAACTGAAGTTAGGTTTAAGGGTTAAGCATGCACCACACAAGATCTAAAATACTAGTTTAAATTTCAATTTACTGTAAAATGGTTGGAAATTTTGCTTTAGATGTGCAATTTAGTCTCATCTAGGACAAGGTGGTGAATGATATCTGCAAATCAGGCCAAAGCTGACAAATCAGGGTGCATGAATGGAATAATATCTGCAAATTAGGCCAAAGCTGACCAATCAGGGTGCATGAATGGAATAATATCTGTAAATCAGGCCAAAGCTGACCAATCAGGGTGCATGAATGGCACTCCTTCTATGTAGCATTTTTAAAACCTTTGCTTATTCTCCACTGTGTTTTCTGTACATCTCCTGTGGTGCTGATGAGAAGAATTTGTTTAACAATCAAGAGCTGCTTTAGTTAGTGATCATTTCCTTTATTCCCATAGCCAAAATATTAATTCAGGGTGATACTATTAAGAGAAATTAGATGCTATTCACTCTCAGGCATCAGAGAGTTAACCGTGACTGTTGTTAGCTTCCCATCTCTTTTACATGGTGGACCCTAGTTGGCCTGTTTTCCAAAGTTGTTCCAATTCTAGCCTGTTCCAGGAATGCAGTGACCGAAACAAAAACGAAGAAACAAGTTAAAGGGTACCAACACAATGGTAGGCAAGGATTGGTCAGAGCCACAGATCCTGCCATTTTTTCTTCCTCCATAGCATTAGCACTACCATTAGTGTTTTCTTGCAGAGACCCATAATAGAGAAAATATTAAAAATAACACAAGATGGACTCTGAAAATATGGTTGGCTATACCACACATGCTTGCCAAGGGACAGAGAAATGTTGAGACAATGCAAACTTTATTGAAATATATGGAAGAACTGGTATGGAATGCAAGCTGATCTACAGTGCACATGCTAATCTTATGAGAGCCTATCCACAGCCATCCTTTGCAATCAAGTGAGACATGCACAATTTACATCATCAACCCATGTGTCTCAAGTGAGCACAAAAAGGAACAAATTAACTTATTTATATACAGTGATCCAGATTGTAAATAATTTGTCTCATTAAGTGCTGTGCTGGATATGAATTTAATTTTCATCCGGTGATAATTATGTAGAAATAAAAAAATGTACATCACTTTACAAACAGTAGACTACTGTGGTAAATCATTACTGTTCCCCAAAACAACTTGGCTTGTTTGGTTCACTTGCAACTTTCCAATACTTTAACAATTTTTTCAATTCCATGGCCACTTGTGCCGCTCTATAAGAATAAAATACAAAAAGTTAGTATATATACTATACATGTACCATTAACTCCTCACACCCTAACATCAGAATGCATATTCTTCAAACATTTCCTAAGATGCTGACAAGGAGAATTTTTTTTTAAAATCTTGAGCTTCTTTAGTTTTTTTGTTATTCTCATGACCTCAACCCTTTCATGCCCAAGATCTCATTTTTAATTCTTCTTTCTGTCTGCCATACCATTCTTATGATGCTACTTCTGAGAATTGGGTTCTGGATCTACTAGAAAATTCTCAAACTTATATTTATCTTTATTCTCATCACTTATCTGATTGATACTGTATTGATATTGTAAGGAGAAATTCTGTCCTGGTCACTCATGGGGGTTAAAGGGTTAATGTGTGATTCAGGGGTGATACTGTATGGAGAAATTAGATGCTGGTCACTCTAAGATGAAACAAGCGTAAAGATGTCAACATTCTTTGTATCTTGACACAAACAAGAGACACTAATGTATCTATGGAATGCAGTAAACCTGTAATAATATATAGATTTAGCCAAGCCTAAAAGTGGAGCTTGCATTTATTTTCCCCACACATCTCAAGGGCATAATGCCTTGCCCTGGCCAGGACTAGAACCTGGGTTGTCCAACTTGGAGCCCAGTGCTCTGACCACTGGACTACTGGACAAAGCCGTGGCGTTGGTGTGCCTGTGGTACAGTTGACCACGCATGTTAAAAGTAGCACCTTGTACGGTTGTACATCCAAATTTTTTTTGGCTTGATGGGTTACTACTATTTTGTATAATTATGGGACTACACTCTGCAAGCTCTGCTGTAATACAAACTTTCTACAGAACATTGCGACATTTTCTTAACCTTTAAACCCTAAAAGTGACTCACATCTAATTTCTCCCTACAATATCACTTATGAATCACACATTACAGTCATGAGAATAGAGGAAATGATCACCAGGGAAGGAACCTTTTGATTGGCAAACAAATTCTCCTTGTCAGCACCTTAAGAAATGTATAAAGAACTGTGTGGAGAATATGCATACTGATGTTAGGCTGTAAAGGGTTAAGGGGGAGGCAAGCTCCAGAAACCACATAATTTTTGTAATCAACCATTATCACTTAGAGTGGTCTTATTACTTGCTTACCGTGAGCTTAATGAAGCGGAGGAATTTTCTCAATACATTAATAAGAAGAGAAAAATCACCATCAGGTAAAAGACTCCTTACAAAAGACTGGTTTGCCTGAAAAACGATAGCAGAAAATTAACAATTAAGTTATTGTAAAATAAAACAAAGGATTAATTAATAAGGTAAAAAAAAAAAGGTTTTAGGGAGTAGTTGAGCCACCTTGCACATCTTGTTTGTGTTATCACAGTTTCCTTAACATGATACAACTAGGAGTATTAACAATCTCCTTGGATGGGATGATGGTCCATATCAGGTTACCCCCCAGCATTTCATCATGTTTCCCTGAGAGCTTGTTGGTACACGTACCCATTTATACTCCTGGATGGAGAAAGGCACTGGACAGTAAATGTTTTGCCCAAGGATACAACATAATGATCCAACCAGGTCTGGCATAAGTACCTCTGAACCCTCAAACATCCCTGTCTATAGTGTAGACACCAATTTCAATGTAACGCATTACACTTACCTCATTTTCCTGTACTATACATCCAAGTAGGAGGGCAACATATGCAGCCACAACACTATCTTCCATGTGTTTTCCAGCTTTTTGCAATGCTGTACAAACAACATA